AGAGTGGTGTTTGGCTTGACTTGTAGTCCGTATATGTTGAGAGCCACTCTGTGGTACCATTATAAAAAGCAACAAAATCCATGCTGGAAATTACAGAAAATTGTATCTAGATAACTGCTCAACCAGTGTTGAAGATCGAGAAAATATGAACAAGTTTATTTCTGAATCTCGGTATATATTAAAGAGAGCTCAATTTGATCTAAGAGGGAGGGATCATATCCCCAATTCGAAGGAAGTAGCAATCCCTTAAGAAAGAAGCACCTGTTTTGGGACTAATTTGGAAATTAAGTATTGATTCATTGATTCTGGACTTGAAGGAAACATCGCAAACGACTGAGACTTTTACCAAAAGAAAAATTCTGTTTGAAGTTGACAAAGTATTTGATCCTATTGGTTACATGTATCACGCTACATTAAGACCAAAGATCATGCTTCTGGAGTGCTCTAAAATACATTTGAGAGATGCAGAACTATAATTTTCTATTAGAAAAATGTTTCAAAAATGGCAAAAAACAACTAAGTCAATTGAAAAATATAACAATTCCCAGATGTCTCTTGGACAATCCTGAATGTTCGATAAATTTAAGTTCACATATTTTTTGTAATGCGAGCAAGGTAGCTTATGCTACATGCATATTATTGAGAACCGAAGACGAAGACTCGACATCATAGCAGCTCATTCAAGCTCTATCTCGAGTAACTTCTTTAAAATCTGTCACAATACCCAGGCTTGAACTTTTATCCAGAACGATTGAAGCTAGACTAGCACATGGAGTAAAGTCAGACTTAAGACTTAAAAATATTCAATTATTTTTCTGGTCGAATTCATAAAACTTCCCTTTTTGTCAAAAAAGAAATGAAAATTGGGCTCCTTTTGTTTGAAACAGAGTTCAAGAAATTAGATCTCTCAGTTTTCCAGAGGAAAAGAATAACGTTCCCGGATCTCTTAACCCAGATGATCTGCCATCATCTCTAGAGTATCGTAATCAATGTAACTGGTGGAAGGACCCTATTTTGTTGAAAGACCCCTCACAGCTTTGGCCAAAAGATATTATCGATCCAGACTTGGACGATATCAACGCTGAAAGAACTGTAGTGACTTCAACAAATTTATTCAAATTACAAATTCCGTTATATGATACTTCCACATCATACATAACAATTACAAGAGTAACTGCTTGGATTTATTGATTTTATAGAAACTTCAAACATGCTACTGATTAAAGAAACTTCGAGAAACAGCTGACTATTAAAGAAATGAAAAATACTAAATTGTTTATTATGAAGTACGCGCAGACTGTTTGACAGAAGAAACCAAGCCTTTCTAAACTATAACGGATGGTCAAAGTATTATATGAGTCAGAACAAGAATAGCTATGAGGAAGGATCTGAGAACATTTAAGTATCCTATTGTTCTACCATCGGACCATAACGTCACTCACTGTCTTGTACCTGATAAACTCAAAGAACTAAATCATTCCGGAACTCAAAATGTAATGTCAGTTCTGAGAGAACAATATTGGATTCTCAGATGCAGAAAAACAGTTCAGCGAAATGTTAAGAAACATGTGATTTGCAAAAGATTCTACACTTAGCCAACTGAAGTCCTAAGTATCTGAAAATCTTGCACCGGAAGCATTGATTTTCGAGGTGATTAGAGTGGATTCATGTAGACCACTCATTTTGAAGGATGGAAACAGTAGGGGCGTGCTATTCACCTGCTTGGTTTTCCGAGTCATTCCTGTTGAATTAGTTACTTCACTTTCCACAAATAGTTTTCTCTTGGCATTTGGAAGGTTCATATCACTACCAGTAATGGTTTTTTTCTGAGAACGGTACTAATCTGACACAAGCAGTTGCTATCTAAAATCAGTAGACTTCGGAAAAGTAAGTGACTGCTACTTCGAAAAAGATTCACTGTAAATTCAATCCTCCTTCTGCATCCTGGTGTATTTTTTCACGGAAGGACTGGAATAAATCAATTCTACGAAGATTCTTTGGAATAGCAAATCTTCTCGATGAAGAGTCATATTTGTGATGTTGAAAGCATCATAAATTCATGACCACTTATGTACTTTTTCGAAGATCTAGAAGACCTGGTACCACCAACACCAGATATGCTTTTACACGAACTTAAAGATTCAGGAGTACCATATACTGATCTAATTGATGCCATAATGATGACTGGGACTCTGTTGAGCTTCATCATGCATTTCCGAAACTCAAGGTGGGAGAATTTCCCAAGCTTTCATCTTAAAAACTGTCAGCAGATGGTGCTCCAAACGCATTGAATAAATAATGACTTTTTTTCCCCTCAAAATTTTCAAGCTTGTGAGTTGGAATTAAGATTAAGATACGGCTTGCCGCGATAAACTGTTTTTAACCATCATCACCTTTTTAATTAACGAAATTTATATATCATTTTTATGCATGAATCATCTTTTCTACATTGTAGATTAGAAATAATAAATGCTTATATAGAGCTAATAAGATGTATAAGTAATACCACAACTGCAGAAAGAAAACACTGTAGAAAAAGGTAAGCTGAAACTTGCCTTTATCTTTGACAATGAGAAACAAGAATATGTTTGATTGAACGCATTCTGAGTTGGTTACACGATGAGCGTGTAAAGGAATGATGTGAGTTGATTTGGAAAGTTCTGATAGCAATAAATTTCAAAGAATCCCTAACTGAAATAGTTTATCAATTTCTCGAGTTTTGAAGATTTAAAAAGAAATTAAAATTTCTGAAAGCATTTGAAAGGAATACGCAAGTCATGAAAGTTTTATTATAAAAAGATAGAGAAAATAAAATTTTGTTGAATAGACTAATTAGGCGGATATCAAAACAGTCTAGAATTACAGATTTTTTGGAAGGAATAAAATGATTTCTTCATTATACTTTTGTACTATGCATTTGATACCATTAAAAAAATAAATTTTGAATAATATAATTTAAATGTAATTTTTAGCAATATAATTTAGAATTTAAGATTGAATAATTCATTCCCCTTTTAATCGAATAATCCGCTTAATTTAATAGATTGGCTGCAACTAATATTATTTCTTTAAGCGGGGTTGATTGTATATCTTTTTAAACATAAAAAAATCGAATAAAATATCCAAAAGAGTAAAGTTTCAACATCATTGAAAATTCGAAATGGAGAAAAAAAAATTATCTCACACTCTAATTGAGATAAAAACATACTTTTTCATTATTTGAAAAATAATTGGAATCCTAATATTTTTATACCCTCGAAATATCTTAATTTCAATATTTTGCAATTCAGAGGAATCTAATTTTTATATATAAAAAATATCATATGTATGCATTATAAGAAAGCCTTAAAATATGTATTGCACTCAACCAAACGTTATTTTAAAAACTTACTTGAGGCAATTTTATTACGCTACTTTTTTTTATCAACAGCTAAAACATTTTTAAAAAAAATAAAAATACATACTAAAAACTATTTATTTTATTCCTACGTAACGCTGAATTATTTAGAACAATTCATATGAAAGTGCTATAGAACATCGTCTGTACTTTTTTTAAATCCTAACCCTTCTTTATTCGCATTTCTATGCAAAGTTAGTTCAAAATAAGTAGAACTTAGATTGAAAAAATTAATAACATCACGTTTCTTTTAGTTCATTGAACAAAACCTAACCAACTCATTGTCTTAAAGATATGGAAAATAAATCTTAAATATAAAAAAAAAAAATGTGTAATTTCTCAGCATTATTCTGTTTTCTGAGAAAAAAATTCCAAATTATTATTTTGCACTACGCGGTAATATTACGACTGGTATTTTAATGATAAATACTTAATAAGCTAAATATCATTGTTATGAATAATATTTAGGCATTTTTTACCGGTCTCAGAAATAAAGCTAATTTATCAAACTAAACACAGAAAATAATTTAGTATAACTCCGGGAATAATTTTATTTCATATTTTGAATTTAATGAAAGGCGTGCGAAAAAACGTACGAAAATGCAGTGTAACTTTTATTTGAAAGGTTGAAACTTAAAATAATTAATATATTTATTTTTATTAATAATTAAGGTTTTAATTAAATACTATTTATTATAACGTTATCAAAACAACTGAAGCTAAAAGCTAGTGTTGCCAAAAATAAATTGTTTTGAGTCGTTTTCAGTTGGCCTTAAATGATAAATTATAATTTTAAAAAGTTATGATAATGAATTTTTATTAACTAAAACGATCAGTACTGTACTCATTCTGATTTTGGATGAGCAAGAGTTTTTTAAATAGTTTAGAGATGTTTTATTTTTAAAAAAAACATTAAATAGCAAATGTCAAACATTAAAATGAAACTTCAATAAAAAAAAGCATTAAAAAGAAATTTCTTTAAATCATAAAAGCTATTCAATGATTTAAAGAAATTTCATATTCTCTACTCAATTCTGAAGGCTACACATAACTTTTAAATATAATTTAGAATGAGAATCAATGAAAATAATTTTTTTTTTATTGAATTCGATATCTTTTGCATAATTAACGTCTTATAAAAAAAAAGTTTCACTTTGTTTAGGACTGTTTAATTTGAAGTGGGAAAAAATTCTGCTTTTTCCGAGGGTTACATAAAATTTTTAAATCTCATTAAGATTTAAAATCAATTACTAAAATCATTTCACATTAAATTCGTTTGTATTTATATGAGTTTTATATGATCAATGATTTTTTAAATATTTTTTTCCTCAATTTTTTTTTCCTATTCAACTTGCTTTTATTTTGATATGTTAGTTCTTATCATTGAGTTTTAAAATAATTTAAGGGTTTTAAATTTTAATAAAAACTGATTTTCTGATATTTAGCTCACTTAAAAAATTTCGAATTTTCAACTTACTCTAAAGATTACACAAACTTTTTTTTTATTTCATTAAGAACAACATAAATAGCTAAAAAGTTCGGTAAATTGATTGCACCACAAATAGTTACCATTAAGAAAACTACTTATGAAATTACAACTTACTGCCATATAAGAAGCCCCATGATATGGTGATGACAACTACTGTCAATAATTTCATCTTTGCATTTGGCGTGCATTAACGGCTAACTGTCCATTTTATCTTCATATTCATAGCATCATCCGCCTTTCCGTTTGTTACGTCACAGATATTGCTCTCTTTTTTTTTCTCTCTCTCTCTCTCTCTTTTGCGTGTGTTTGATTTTCGTGTGATTATGGCAACTTTTTTTTTCTCAAACAGTTGGGTTTTCACCTTATATTTCGAAGAAATACACTTTCGTGAATATAGGCGGGTTGAATGATGAATAGTTTATCTTTGAAGTTGTCAAACATTTCGAATGAGCCTTATAATGCACGTCATAACATTGCAATTTTACAACAGAATTTGATCTGTTATGAACTTTGCTGTCAGATTTCAAAGTTAAAAATTTGGTGATATTTTTCCCTTCTGCACGAAATACTTTTACAAAAAAATAGATAAAAAAAAAGCTCATGTCACACGCTATAAAAAAAAACTCATATTACAGAAGTTGCAGACTAAAATGAAACTATTATATTTATTAAGTTAATAAATATATATCACCACAATAAAACTAGATAGATCGTGTAAATTTCATAGAAAAAAACTCATATGACTAGAGTTTTCATATCAAATTGAAAAGAAACAATGGCATAGAACAAATCAATAATCATAACACCATAAATTTAGGTTTCAGATCCCATACTCTAAATCAAAAATTTATATTACTGAAGTTTCCAGCTCAGATTAAAATTAAACTATTACATTTATTAAATCAATAAAGTACATATCAGGACAAAACTATGTAGCATATCCCATAATCTTGTTTTTAAAAAAAATCTCGTAACATCAAAGTTCCCATTTTAGATTGAAACGAAAGTATTACATAAATTAAACATATCAGGATTAAACTAGGTTGCAGATTCCTTACGCATTACAAAAATCTCATGCTATTGAAGCACACAGAAAAACTCATATTACTATTATATTTATGGAATCAATAAAATACATATAGCGATAAACATATAATTACTACTTTCAATACTAGAAAATACGAATACTACTTTCAAAAATTTCCGAATGAACTTTCCTATTTTCATTGTCCTTTCCTGCATTTTTAGTTTACATTGAGCGCAATGTAACCAAATTTAACCCTTGTAAATCAATTTTAAAACCAGACAGGGAAATCGAAATTTTTTGGTTAATATTCATAAAATATAATAGGACATACCTTACCTTGCATACCTTACATATATAATAGGCCTTGCAAATGACTTTTATAGTAAGGGACTTTAATACTTAGGTAGAAAATCACGATGACGCTTAATTACTTTTGGTGACTGCTGTTATTATGTTTTATATAGAATAGGAATTACAACAGGTTTTCCCCAGTTTCAGAAAATATTTTCTAGTGGTAGCAAAGATAGTGTATTAATATTTAAAGGAATTAGAATTAAAAGAACTTTTTTCCGCCGCTACTTATATAAATTTTGAGCAATAAATTGAAGGTCTTATAGAGAAATGGTTATGCTTCCTTATTGAGGTGTTTTAAGAATTTTATTTGTTTTTAAAATTTCGACCATACCCATTGTAACTACTGATAAATATATTTCGCACAAAACTCAAAGAATGAAGGGTTGTGGTAAGTTTGACTATCATAAGTTGGCCATCACACAAAGTGATGCTATTTTCAGCTAATCTCTATTCTGATGGTATGAACTCTACAAAACGCGCTTTTCTTAATATAATAACGTAAATCCAATTATAAATTCAACAAATAATAATAAAGTCAAATTATTTTAGCTTTATTTATTGAAGAGCTTAGTGGAAAAACCAGGCAAGTGACATTTTCTGAGAGGCAATCAGGGTAAGAAGAAAGAAACTGGTATTTGAACTATTTTATTACCCGATATATTAGAAGATTCTTTTCCTGATTTTATTTATTACTGCCTAATTTGAAAATAAATATCATATAGAAAAAAGTAATCAGCATACTTAAAAGTGATAGTTATATTGCGATTAAAGAGAAAGCAAAAACACTTCTTTTAAATTAAACATACTCACATTAATGTGATGATATACTCACATACTTCATGCTATTTTTACCTCTGAAAATGTCACTTACCTGGTTCTTCCACTAAGCTCTTCAATTGAGTCGGTATATTTCAGTTTTGTGTATGATTTCGTAGTGTTGTTCAGTACTGATTAATTGATTTCTTTTTTGTTTATTCCTTACAAAGAACGGGTATTTAGCTAGTTTAAAATAAACAAAAAAAAATTAAAAATCATTTTAGTGACTGAGCCAAATGATTATAGGCTTGAGCTTTATCCAAATGGAATCGAGCACTGAATTTCGGAATTTAAATCTGTTTTAACACAATAAATGTTAAATCTGCCTTACTATATGGATCTGAGACATGGCACGGCAATAAAAATAACAAGAAAAATCAGCCAGTATTTTTTAACCACTGTTTAGGAAGAATTTTACTTATCAAGTGGTTCCATAAAATTTTAAAATCAGAAATCCTTAGAAAAGCAAAAAGAAATCAATTGACTTGGAAATTAAAATAACGTAAATGGATTGGTTATGTTTTACGTAAACCTGGAAAATTTAAAATAAAATAAGTTTTTGATTGGAACCCTGAGGGCAATAAAAAAAGAGGAATACTTGGCGCTGAACGATTGCGAACGAATTGAAAACAATAAGAAAGACATGGATAGAGATAAAATACCACAAATTGAGTGAGATGGAAAGCTATAATAGAAGCTCCAATTCGGAGTGAAAAGTAATATGTAACACCTTAAAACATTTTAGTTTTTGATAAACATTTGAAACATTTTGGGAAAAAAATGATAGTAAGAATCATTGTGGTTGAGGCAAGAATAAAAAATTATTATAATTTACTCATTACTTCTTCGATTAAATTAATTTACAATTATAATATTAATTTTAATAATTATATCACGAAGCTTTTTTTTTCTTCATAGTTTTATATTTAAAAATTTTCAAATAAAATTCTGGTGACACTAGTATATAATAACAAACACTTCCATAAATAATCGTTTCAAATTTAATTAATTTGACATTCACTTCAAATTATAGTGCCAATAACTATTCATATTAAATACTTACAGTCCTTTTTTAACGTATTGCATTACAATATTAACCACGAACGATACACGAACAATAAAGCACTATAGTATCACCTGACAATTCAGATTTTGCATAGAATCGTATAGTGCGTCTAATAATTTGATCAGAGACTGTACATACGAATACATTCCATTGACCTATGCAATCAAATTCTCAAATCTTTCATTATAAAAGTGTTAACCAGGCATTTTTTCTATAAATATTCGTATCCAGTGACTTTATTTACCTTTTTTTCCCCTTTTTACTACTTGATATAAAAATACTATTATTATTTAACAATATTTGAAAAAGTTGCGTATGCTGAAAAACTTCTTAAAATACCTTAAAATTAATGTTAAGGTTTATTATTTTTATTTTATTTAAACGACTTAAAACTCCTCAAGCATCACAAAGTATAGCATGAGGCTTACAGTTGTAAGTAGAAAACAAAAAGAAGAAAAAATTACAAATTTACATTAAAAACAAAATTCCGCAAGACTTTCAATACTTTTGACCAGTTCTGATAAGACAGGTGGCCAACAAATAGAAAGACGTCTCAAATCAGTCTTTAAATTCATTCGGGCACTCGCATACAGACTACAATGAAGAAGAATATGTTCAGCATCTTCATCAGCATCACCGCAAGCACAAATTCCACTGGTCTGCAGATGGAAACGAAATAAATACCTCTTAAAATTTCCATGGCTTGTTAAAATTTGGGACAATTTAAAATCAGTTGCAAAGAATTTACATTGCAAACGGTGAAAAATGGATGGAAAGAACCTTTTTGTCCAAAGCGACGCGAAGCAAGAAATTCAGCATTCCAGTCCGCAATGATTTTATCTCTAGCCATGCGCTTCCATGAATGTATTTTACCTTCATTACATAAAACATTAACATTCGAAAAGATTTTAAGGAAAAAATTTAGGGATTATTTTCTTAAAGTTTATTTTTAGAAACATTATTTAGAATATGAAAAGAATTATAAAGTAGAGCATAAAAGGAAAAACCTTTTCAATATAATGTTCTTTATGATTGCCTAAAAAAAACTTAGATTCAGAATAAATGATAGAAAAATAATGATTTAATCATACTTTTTAAAATAATTAATACTGAAAAACTAATTATAAATGTAGTATTAGCTGCTTACTAATTATAAAAACTAATAAAATAACTAATATGTAAAAAATAGTGACAAAAAGGAACTTGAATTAAAATATTTGAATATTAATTTCGATAATGCCTCTAGTATTGTTACGCAGTTATAGTTAAATTTATAAAAAAAGTAATTTTTAAAAGTTTCTTCGTAGTTATTTCACTATTAGAGTTCTTTTTAGTTAAAGTTAATAATAAAGAACTACATATTGCACTACCGGCACTTGTACTACATCTTTTGATTTGATTAATTTAATGTAAAGGTGCGTAGGTTTAAGTGAAATCTTCGTATTTGTTTTTATTTTTAATATTTTTAATTCCATAATAATTTATTACTTTAATATTTTTTTGGTTTATTATGCGACTAATTAAAATTTAATAATATTGAATCGAACTCTTAATAGATATTAGTTTAACTAATATCCATTAAGAGTTTGATTAATCAATTAGCACAAATAATAAACACATTTTATTGGTTTCTTTAAACTATAAATTAGGGCAAAATAAAATACAACCAAAAGAACTATTCTTAAAGTGACAGTACATTTTTCCCCCTATTTTACACCCATCTTAATTTCAACTTAAAATTGCTATACTTTTCCTTCAAATCGGAATTTTGAAGTTCATAAACAAATGTGGCCCTTTCAGCAGGTCAAAGATAAACTCGGTAAACCCGATCCCGCTGTCTGTAAAGCGGACCGGATGGTATTTTTTATTACAAGTTTAACAGTTGATTATCGAACTTATTATGAATGTGATATATTTTTTAAAATTTTATTGTACAGTAGGAAACCGATTATCCGGAACGATCGGGACCATCGCTATTCCAGATAACTGAT